CCACTTCTAGTGTTCGGGAGACTTTTCTATAACTCAGCCAGGCTCAGTTCTGCAGCTACAATTCAATCAAAAAATCATGTCAGGGCTCAGAGTTGTATTAGCTGAAATTAAGAATGTTGGTCATTTGTTATACTTGGAGTCATATTTGTCTTCTGGGCCTCAGCTTTCCACTGAAGACAAATTCTCAAGGTTTTTATACCAACTAGAGAAAAAATTTTTTTTTTTTTTTTTTTTTTTATGGAAACTTAGTGCATCCTCGTTTTCACCCACCTTCCAGGTCTTTACAAATGGTCACATATTTCACAAGATTTATGGCCCAAATCACAGAAGCAGTCAGCACTGACATTTACCCATTAACATTACAGGGTGGACAACTGTAAAGACATGAATGAAATCATTAGAAGCATATATTTTTTCTTCGTCCTTGTGGATTAGATCCAGTAAAGGATTTAAAGGTGGCAACAGCTTTTAGGTTGATTTCCAGAATGAAGTTCAGATACCTGAGCTCCTTCCACAACTTCAGATAGGCCACTAAGTGGGAAGAACTGACTCCTGAACAGTGGAGAGAACCCTGCTCCCCTGTTCCACTGCATCCAGCCTCTTCATAGCTAAATCCTAGTCAGGCTGCTGAGCCTTACACCCTCCTGGGTTTCGCCAGGAGACCTCATGCTGCCTTGTGGCTACAGTGTTGTGCTGTAGGAGAGGGAGCATGAGCCTAAAGTCCCTGAAGTTGGAGGAAGGCATCCCACCCATGTCTCTGCCTCCTGGGTGAGTGCTACAGGTATGAGAGGCCCATTAGAAACACCTTCCACATAATTACCACATGGGAGGGACACAGTTTTGGCAGTCTGCCAGGCAGGTGCACTTCAAAGGATTTCATATGCTCCTTTGCCTACTTTTGGGATCCACTGAAGATTGGACAGGTAGACTGCATTGAAGACTGAGTTGAAGAAGATCTCCAAAGGCATTTAGAAACCTTCAAGGTTAAGAAGCCTTTGGGATGTTTGGCTAAAAGAGCCCAGTCCAGCTGTCCAACTGTAAAAGGTGTCTAGTAATGTTTGTCACATCCTAGGAAGGTACAAGTGGGAGATCACCACCAGCCATATGGGAGATATCCATTTCTCTGGAGTGGCAGCAGGAGGCCAGCACTGTAGCTTCTTAAATGGAACTAAATGACTCAGTTTTAGCAACTGCAATAAGCCTATGTAATGACCAAATCCCACATTAGGAATAGAAATCTTTTACCTTGCTTCTGGACTTTGGTACACTGAGAAGATACTGTCAGCAGCAGTAAATACTAATTAGGTAGAAGTGAAAACCAGTTGAAAATAAGTTCACGTGTGTATTTTACTATGCTAATAAAATGTTGCAGAAAACAGTCCATGTCAAAGCATAGCCCTAGTTCTACAGATGCACATTGTGAAGCCTGTGGGAAGTGGGAATAGAATAAAGTTAGATGCAGCTGCCTGCAATTTCACTCTCTTTTTGAGGTAGATCAGATCATACAATAGTTTACAGTTATATGGACACAGAAATCTATCCATGTGTCTTTCAGAGAAAAAACACTACTTCTAGAGTGAAAGCCCACTCAATGTAATTTGTGAGCAAAAAAAGCATCTAAACAACATAGTGACTGAGTGCTTACTGAAGCAGGCTGCTTGTTCTGGATACATGATGGAGAAGGCTTTTGCCAATTTCTGTTTAATTTGGCAAACCCCATGGCAAGTGTAATCACAGCAAACATACTTCCTAACTAGATGATACACATGGTTCCAGAGCTGATACAAAATGGGTAGATAAAGACAAGAGTATAATACAACCAGTTTAAATATTGTGTGACAATGATAGCTTTGCATACTATTGCCTTCAACATTTCCAGCCCAAAATAGTGTCACAAGGATCTCACATTTCTTTCACAGATAAATATTAGTGGTAGTGAACTCTAAGATGAAATTATATCCAATTTTATATACAGAAAATTTGATATTTTTTTTCAGTCACAAAGGTTGATAATGCACACATTTGCTAGAAAAGAATCTCAGAGAAATAAAACTCAATCATAATACAGAAAGCAAGACATTATTTTTTAGTGGCTGCATTATGTGAGCAGGTGGAAGGAGATGATATCAACATGCCAGCTGGAAATCAATAGGAACCTGGCCAACCAGCCTAAGGCTTTTTTCCTGCAGTCTTCAAGGGGACCAGTTTATTAAAATAATGTGCTTCAGCAACACTGGACATTTGAAGATCTGAACATTTAAATCCTGGGCATTATAAAGCCAAAACTTTATGCACATTCTGAAGTCCATAGCATTCAACCTTTTTCTGGTCAATCATACTTCCTGTCATGTGCAACAAATGATGCTTTGATCCACTCCGATAGTTATGCCTAAAACTGACTTATTTTACTCAGCAAACTTTCTTGTTTGTGGTATTAACAAGTCATGAGTCCAGCTTCTCTGGCCAGAGGAGATTACTAAGCCAGTACGGTTTATAAAAACAGTAAGAAAACTTGAAAATCATTGTGTATTTCTGTCATGTGCTGACTTTTACATATTAACCTATCCATTCTGATAACTGAGACTAAGATGGCCATCAGCTAGCTGGTGACTTTTTAGTGTCATCTTCTTACCAATCTCAAATTGCAGGTGACAATGACAATACTTCAGCTTACCACAGCAAAGGTACCCTTGTTGCAGTGGGGCAAAACAAACCATCAAATAAAAGGCTGAAGAGCACCAGAAAGTTTATTAAAACTCAAAGTAAAGCAAATTCCTCTCCCCTCCTGCCTGCATACCTTTGTCATGAAAGACAATCCTCAGCCAGGTTCTCTAAGCACGCACACACATTTAGCGATTGCATATTTTCCCTCTTTTCCTACCAGAACGGAGGTAGTGAGCTGTGGCTTACCAGACTGACCAGAGTGAAGAGACAGATGTACATTTGTAGGATTTGCAAACTGTAAAACCATTTGTAAAATTTCACAGTGATTTGTCACATTTTCAGCTGGAGTGTTTGATATCTACCACACAAGCATAGATGCCATCCTTTGTTTTTCAGGAAAGGAAGTAGAAAGTTTGTTACCTGAAAGGTACACAAAGCACCACGGAAGAGGCATGGCAGGAGTGACCTGAGACACAGGAAAGTTGTTGTCTCCCAGCTTTGGGCCAGGCTAAGGGACTTACAACATGCTGCCTTTCTCATGCTGCTTTACCTTTCTGTCTGGCCAATCACTGCCAACATTGACATGAGAGGCAAATATGTAAGGTCTCACCAAGACCACTTTAAGACTTTACAGAGGTTACAGTCTAACCCATTTCTCCAAATTACAGTCGAACCCTGGAACACCTTTCCCCACTGTGTATGTCCAAGTGTTATACAACTGTGGCACAAATGGCTTCCTAGCATCTGGGAATGGGACGTGTGTGAATAGCTCATAAGGCCTCAGCATTCCATAGGAGCTAGAAGAGCTTTGTCCTTAAGCTTCTTCAAAAAACCAAGGAAGTTTGGGAGAAGATTGACATTGATTTTTAAGAAATATTGGTATAATGTGGAAAGAAGAAAGAATGGCAAAAAGCTAATTAGATATTAAGAAGGTTAAAAGGGATGACCTAAAGGGATAGACTGGTATTGATCACTCACAAAATGATGGAAGGCTGATAGGGATGCCATTTGCCACAAGTAAGAGTATGGTAGCATAATTAATGTCCTTCAGTAAGAATTATAGAGAACAGACTTTGTCACACAAATGCCATTACTGGAGGAGATTAGAAGTTTAGGTGATAAAGTAAATTATACTGACATAACTGGTTTTGACAAAGTATTTTACATCATACCGAAGGATCTTCTGTTTAAAAACAAGTTTTGTACCAAAAAAAAAAGTATAGAGTTATAAGAAAAATAAGCTGAAAAAACTTCATAAGATTATCTAGTTCATCATCCAGTTGCAGATTCTTGAATATAAAATGGATTTCAAATTAAAATTGGATTTATACATTTCTAAACAGAAGTATTTCAAATGGTATTGCACAGTTTCTATTCTTGGCTCAACAATATGAAATACCTTTACTATTGAACTGAATACAAAAGAATCACTGCAGCTAAAGTACAAACTCTGGCAGCATGCAAAATTATAAGCATGGGTCAGCTCCACATAGAGGCTGTGGTGCTTGAAGTGCTACTTTCATTCAAACAAAGAATTTAGGTCAAATATCCAGATATGGAAAAGCAGTATCCTGTAGTTCAACGATTTAGAGAAGAACTCTGGTTTAAGGGAAATGGTAAATGAAAAATAAGCTCATAACATGACTGTGTGATTATGAGGGCTAGTATGATCTTCAGATGTGTAAATAAGAATGAATCTGCTACAAGTAGAACAACTGCATACTGTCCAACTGAGATGAGCTAATTGGGATTTTATTTTCCTGACATGCTCCATCAGAAAATTTAATATTCTCAGAGGGAGGTGGAATTTAAATAAATCCCTTTAGAAAAAAGTGGCAAAAGGTTTTGATTTTCATGCCACTTCTCTTGTGTTTTTAAATATACATGATTTGGTTTTAAATTTAATATGCTTTTTGCATCTTAGGTGTCATCACATATTAAAACTTTTAAAAATAAAACTCTTAAAAGTCAAACTGTAATGAAATGTCTCATGTTTGCTGTAAGATTACTTTTGAGCCTACAGTTCTAGAAATTGTTAATATCTTCTCTTTTTTTCTGATCTGGCAGAGAGAATTTCTGAAATCCCATATCTTCTGTCAGCTGAGATTGTAATTCAAATACTGGAACCTGAGTGCAATGTCAGTATTTTAAGAATATAGAAAGACAAGAAATGTTATAAACAAACCACAAGAAGGATCTGAAGTTGGATTTCTTAACAACACAGCTTAAAAACAAGGGTTTGGATGTTTCCCTAGCTTACTAGACCAACAGAAGTATGGCAAGATGTAACATGAGAATCACAAGCCAAAGAAACTCTAATTAAAATTAAGAGAACATTTATTACCCATTGGAACAACTAAATTGGGATTACCATAAATCAGTAATTTTTTGGAGCCTCTAAGATGACATCATTTCCTGAAAGGCATGCTTGCAGCTCTGTTACAAACACAGGACTCAGTAATGAATTTCTGCACGGACGTTCTGCAGCTCATACTGTGCGGGAGGTTCTCACAGCTCCTGGGTTTAAGTCTATGAATAGGGGAAAAGAAAAAAAAGCAGGAGTCCATCACTGCTCAGGTCAGGCATCTGTCTTCTGTAACCAATACATACTTGCAAGAATGAGCATCACTTACCAAAGGGTTCAACAGGGAGGAAATGGGCCAGGGTCTGCAGTGCAAAGCACTCACTGAAGACACGTGACGATCTGCACAGAAGGAGATCCTCTGAAACAAGCACGGCCATACAGGTACAGCACTATGGGCACTTTTGATCTCCCCTCAGACTTTCTTTGCAAGTGCTAAAAAGAAAAAAAAGATTAGCAGGTTCCTTTTAACCGTAATAAATCAAATTGTAGGGGGGGTTTTCTGAACAGGACCCAATGGGCAAAATTACTTCAGGTCATAGCTCAATAATATCTTGAGGGGCGGGGGGCAAAGAGGTAAAACCTGAAGTACAAAGAACTAAAAGGAAAAGATTATCAACACACACCACCCTTCAACACACTGAAAACCAGATATTGCAAGAAAGACCCCTTCCCATGGAGATCATCGTCACCTTGCTCTGACTCAGCTTCCTCCCTGCCAGTCAGTCTTTCTACAAGAGCAACTGCAACCTTAGCTTTTTTAAAATATCCCATAGGCCTGATAAATTATTCCTCTTAAATCCTTAGCAATAATTGGTTTATCTTACAGCTTCAGATTAAGATATACATTTTTGCACATTGCTAATCTTTGTATAACTCATGTTTCAGGAAAACAGAGTTATTAATATTGAAAACATAAAGAGATGAGATTGTGAAGCTCTATTACAGTATAAGAAATCTTTCTTAGTCTAGGTAAAAACTCCTCTTCTTACACAATAGATCAATCATAAGCAATTTTTTCAATTAGTATCAGATAAGCAATCATCTTCCTGATGTATTAAGAATTCAACAAATACAGCTAATCCGTATGTACTCACCTCTCTCTAGCCTTAGACTGCAATTTCTCAGACCAGAGACTGTCTTTTCCTGAATGTTTGGAAAGTGTTCAGCTAAGTGTGGACACAGGCATAAATAAATAATAATACCATAGCCACTGAGGACACTTAAGTAAAATTACACTCTGATTTAACCATTAAGTTCCTCTTCCAAAATCCCAGATGAGCAATGACATTCAGAATTCTGCTCTTCATTTATCTTGTTTCATTAGGAGTTTCCTTCTAACAAAACAGAACTGTAACCATACACGTCCTATTCATCTACTCTTTCCCCACGCACCCACGAGTGCTCAAGACAATCTCTCTTTCTCAAACGCTGTGGGACAGATTCTGTTCTATTTACTGCTTCGAAGTTCTTGTTATTTTCTTTTGAAAACACACTGGGTCAGCCTGAACTTAAGAGGGAAGAACCTCAGTCTTCTTTGAAGAGTTGTCTATTATGCTTATGGGATGCTTAAGGCAACAGATGAGGCAACGGAATCATCACGTGGAACGAGAACATGCCAAGGAGCACCAAGGAGCCTGCCAGCTCAGGGAAGAACAAGAACTTCCCAGGGACAAGAAGATTGGGTAGAGTTTGCTATAACTCAGCAAGTCACTGAATTGGCTAAACCAAGGACTCGCCTGAAAGAGCAGATATTGTTGCAATTTTTTTAATTTCCTTTTTGTCTTTCTTAAAAGCTCTAAGTTTGCTTTATTTAAAAACTTAATTTTCTAGTTTTTATTTAATAAAGTTTGCTTTGTTTGAAGTTTAAAAAAAATGAACCAACAACTTTAGCCTAACTTTAGTTAGAATATAATATAAAAAAGACTGCCTGATGCAGAGTCCCATCAGGGATGGAAAGATGACTGCCCTCAGTGCAGTCCCCACTACGTGAGCAAGGAGGAAGGCTTTCACACTGGGAGGCTTCACTGCTGTCAGAAGTGGAGCAGTAAGTGTGAAAGGAGCAGAAAAATATGAGATATTTTGACTAGTAACAGGCCTCCTCACCTCCCCACACACCAAATGTCCTCCAGCAGGGAAGACAGGTGCAAAAGAGAACAAACCAAAGAGAATGAAGAGGGAAAGCAAAGAGCAGTCAAAAGTGAAATGAAGGAGAAAGGAAAGCTGGGAGTCATGACATCGCTGGTAGCAAAAGCAGAAAAACAGAGTAATGGAACTACACAAGGCCTTTTCTTCCCATCATCCAGGTAACTCAGTTATCCTAAACTGAGTCAATTAACTTCTTGTAATACTGAGTTCAAGAGCAAAAAGGTAGCTATTGCTCTCATGAGGTGATGTTAAAACACCTGAGACAGATGACCAAGGTTGGAGAATGCACCAAAAGAAGCAGTCTTTCTTGCAAAATTGTATTTTCAAGAAAAAAAAGAAGATGGCATAAATGCTCAGCTCCTCCTTAATCCTCAGCACCTGGAAATAAGAAGTGCTTTTAGAAGGTAACTTCTAAAGCCTCTGATCTCCTCATGAAAAACAAAAGTTAAAATGAGCCAATGCTGTAAGGTAAACACAATTTCTGTTGGTGCAGTTCCAATTTTTAACTTTAAAAAAAATTAAAAAAAAAAAAAACAAACGTAAAAAAGAGTCACAATTGCCTTTTTTTTTCACCACAAACCATGTCTTCATTTAAGTTTGCAGGATCTGCTGCCAGCTGAGATAAACTGTATCTCAAGAGGGACATTATAGTTGGTATGGAGTACAACATCACAGTTTTTCTCTCCTTTTCTTCCAGTCAGTACGTCCTTTGCAAACAGACCCAAACAATATGCAATTGCAAGTCACAGTTTTCAACTTCTGCATTCTTTTAGATGTCACGATTATATATGTTTCCTAAAATTAGGTAGATAGAATGTAATTAATGTAACACATAAAGCCAGGAGAAAGTAAAAATTACAATCCTGTGACCAAAAAATTCTCCAACTGTGAATCTAGGTTTGCATCTCTCCCGGAGCATTGCCACATATGAGTAAGCATCAGAACAGAAGGATGTGTCACATGGGGTTCACCAGGGGTCTGTCCTGGCTGCAATACATTCCAGTATCCATGATTCAGAGAATGCATATTAAATATACAGATGGCAAGAACCTAGAAGAAAATGAAAGTATCACAAAGGATGAAATAATCTGGACAAAAATGGAAGTAATGTCTGGGGGAAAAATGCTGCCCAACAGGGACAAATTGAAGATATTATAAAAGCAAATAAACCACACAAATACAGAACAGGAGACAGTTAACTAGAAAATCAGTTCTGTAGCAAAGGACCTTGAATGATATCAAATAGGAGCCAAACATAAGTCAACGTCAAGCTACGACAGGTTTCTTAAGGTACCAACAGAATTATACATGCACCCAAGAGCCAGAATATAAAATGCAAAAAGTGTAGAAACCCTCTGCCATACAAGGCACAACTGTGATACTGCCTTGTTCTCACAGTACAAAAAAAATAAGTAAAAATTCAACTGGACCAGCTGGAAAGAATGAAGAAGAGAGCTGCAAGAACAGTTCTAGGAAACATGACCCTGGAGGAAACGTAGAGCAGTGAGATTTTGAATCCAAAGAACATAAGACATGCTAACATCCCTTTAGCACATAAAACGCTGCTGCAGGGAGAGATTGAAGTTAGTTCCCTATGTTCATCCAGGAGAGAGGAATAAGTAACAGGTCTAGATTTTAACAGCAAAGTTTCCACTTCAAGACAAGGGAATTTTCTCTGTTGGCAAGAGTAATGAAATGTGGGAATGGAGTACATGAAGAAGAGGTCTGAGAAACCCTCCTCGAAAAAGTTACCTGACCCTGCCTTAGAGTAAAGATAAACTCCACATGTTCCTTGCAGCCCTATCATTCTCAGCTTGCTACATATTGCCAAAAAAAAAAAAAAAGTTAACATCCTGCATCCTTAAAAGCAATCTCTTCGTCATGACTAGCCGGCCTCTTTCACGGATTAGATAACCATGTCTTGCTGTGTTCCCATTTCTCGGCCTTCCCCAGATTAGCACATAGGCTGTACTTGGTCCAGAGCGGCTGTCTCCTCTCTCCAATTTCCTGTGCATATGCCAGGGCTGTTTCTGCTTTCCCTGAGCAATGCTCTACAGAGGATACAAAAGCCTTTATGGATGATTAATAGCTAGCTTTCAAGGCTTAATGATTTGGCTTAGAAACTACATCTTATAGATCAGTCAGCTAATCTAGATCTTGGCCAGCTTCTGTTCTGCTCTTTCCAAGAGTCAGACTGAATATTCAGTTCAACACCTCTCTCACTTTCAGTCATTTTTCTCCATTGTTAACCATCTATTCAGACAACTATTCCCAAGTTGCACCGCTTTGCTCAACAGATCATCACCAGCACATTCCCAATGGGTAAGCAGAGAAACCTTAGACCTTGACCAAAACCAATTGTCACTAAAGACACAGAAATAATTCAGGAATTAGTCCTGTCTCCCAGTTCTGTTTATTCTATTTTCCAGTTTTCAGCTCTGCAATGATGAGACTGCATTTTATCTAAGGGAGAACACACCGTTTTACTACACATTGGCTAATGTATACAATTCCAAACAGCAGAAGTTCCTTCCTTCTGTTACTGAAAGAAAGATGAATAATAATGTTAAAATTAGTTACAGCCAGTATGTGGTAGATGGACTGTTGCCATATGGTGGTTATGTAAATTAAATGACAAAATAAGGATCTAGCATTTATAAGTAACTTTTGCATACTACAAAACCCCCACCTGCCTGTGCAATACCTATGACATCCCATTTATGGGAAAAGATGACATCAAAAAATTGGGATTTTTTCTGAGACTCTGAACAGCTATTTCAAGGAAAACACAAGCCTCTTATTTGCCTAACATACAAAGAATATCAAATCTAGTCACCACTCCTGTGTGTTACACAAAGTAGTCTCCAATTAAACATCTATTTTGGTAAAATTATCTTCCAACACCACATGGCTGTACTGCTTGTCTGGAAAGGTGACTGACTGTACTTCATGGATGATTTAAATGCCCAAATTTAGGGCAAAGATGACTTCTGTCTGAAAACTGCCAAAGCCACCTATCTTTTCCCTTGACTAGACAGGGAATTTAGGACCAATTTTAGGAGTTCTGATACTCTGTGTGTTTGTCATTGAGACATAGAATAGAGGGACAGGTGGGCAAGATGCTTCCCAGCCAGCATTGATCAGTAAACTTCAAATATATTCAAGAGGCAGCATTTCAGACTCCATATGTAGCTATCATGTAGCAAAGTGTATAATTTAAAACACCTAATTTTTTTATTATTTCAACAGGCAGGGACAATAGGTATCAAAAGAAACAGATGATTGGA